TTCTTTTATGACACGTTTAATAGGTGATCATTATGTATATCAAAAAGATTTGGGTGGATTATGTAATATTTGCAATGATTATTGTTATAAAGTATTTGATAAATTGATTAATTTGATAAAATTAAATGTAAATCAGAAATTACAGGTATATAGTTTTAAATATTTATATAAATTGTTTTATTTGATAAATTTATTATAAAATTTGTAAATATATATGAAAATTTTCTAATTAAATTTTAGAATACATTAGTAAACGAACTTGAGAAGTTATACCATTTTCTAAAATGAGGATTTGAAAATGAACTTATTGTAAATGAAGACAGTACAATATCATATTCAGATACAATTAACCATTGCTTATTATATGCATTCAGAGAATATACTCAAGAACATAAAATCTGTTGCATCACATGTGATCAATTGTTCATATTTATTGAACATTCAACTAATATACTTCCAGAAAATTTACGCATTACAATTGAAGAGTCACGAAATAAGTTATATTATTTTCTTGCTCACCAGGCAAGAAAAGTTTACCTGAATAATCAATTCAAAGCAAAATTATTAGATCTTGATGATGATGATACAATTCTGATATGCGATTACAAAATGAGGATCTTATCTAAAAGTGTTCGCAAAACAAAAGAGCAATTTTTTGAAAATAAGAATGAACTCTTCATACAATTTTGGTTTTTATAAAGAATAATGATTTACAGCTGAATGTGCATGTATTTGATCATTGGTCTACTAATACTAAACAAGATGCTTGGTTTTCTGTATTATCCTTTAATGCTATTTTTGAAACTTTAGATCCAAAACCAAGGTGGATCAAAATTTTCTCTGATAATGGTTGGCATTATCACAATTCAGAATTGATGACCATTATTTCAAATTGGAATCAATGGTATAATATTGATGTTTGTGGGTGATACTTTCTCCAATCTGGAAAAGCAAAAAATAGTGTTAATTCATATCATACATAAGTCAATATCTATATTTTGATTTAGTAAGGGCTTGTTTTCTTTGAATTTTTTCTGCTAAAAATAATTACCTTTTAGATTGCTCATTCTATTAAGAGATATGTAATAGTTAGTTATAATTTGGATAGTAATGAGTAGTGTTTCACAAAAAATCTGATTCAATCTGAATCTAATCTAGATCTGACAGATCAGATCGAATCAAGTTTATTAGATTCGAATCAAATTCATATCCAGATTTTGATTTGATTCAATCTGTCAGATCTAGATCAGAATTGGATTTGGATTTGATTCAATTCGACGGATTCAGATTTGGATTTAAATTTGATCCATCAGATTTGGATTTGGATTCAAATCTAATTTGTTGGATTTGAAATATAAAATGCTGCCTGAAGTCGAACGCAGCATTTATTATTAAAAAAATTTAATTTTTAATAATAAAATGCCGCCCAAAAGTCAGACATGATATTTATTATTAAAAAATTAATAAAAATTAATTTTTAATAACAAAATGTCGTCCTGAAAGTCAAAGGTGACATTTATTAATAAAAAATTAATAAAAATTAATTTTTAATAACAAAATGTTATTCTGAAAGTCGGAGACGACATTTATTATTAAAAAATTAGTGTTTAATAATAAAATATCATACTGAAAGTCAGATGCAGCATTTATTAATAAAAGAATTGATTTTTATTAATTTTTTATATTAAAATGCTGCCCCAAAAGTCAGATATGATATTTATTATTAAAAAATTAATTTTTAATAATAAAATTCCACTCTGAAAGACGAATGCGACATTTATTAATAAAAAATTGATTTTTATTAATTTTTATATTAAAATGCTGACCCAAAAGTCAGACGCAGCATTTATTATTAAAAAATTAACTTTTTATTAATTATTTATAACAAAATACCATCCTGAAAGTCAGAAGCAGCATTTACTATTAAAAAAATTTAAATTATAATAATAAAATACCACCCCAAAAGTCAGTCGCAGCATTTATTGTTAAAAAATTAATTTTTATTAATTTTTAATAACAAAATGCCATCCCGAAAATCAGAGGCAGAATTTTAACTTTAAATACTAAAATTAATAATTCTTCATAAACTATTTAAACACTTTAGTTATAATATAAGTTATAATATTCTAAGTTGATAATAGTGTTCTTATCTGACCTGAATCTGATTCAAATATTATGAATTGAATTAAATAGATTTATTGGATTTATATCAGATTTGAATTTGAATTTGAATTTAATTTGATCTGTCAGATTCAGATTTGAATTTGATACAATCTGTTAGATTTTAATTATCTATTTGATTAGATAAAAATCTGAAAATTAAAATTAAAACTAAAATATTTCTCTAATAAAAAAAAACACTTTTTAAGACTTTTCTTTTTAATAAAAAAAGATTATCAAATTTTTTTTAAAACTAAAAAATATTTTCCTTTTATAAAAAGAAACTTATTAGATCCTTTTTAAATTTAAATTACATTTCCTTTTAATAAAAAAAACTTTTCAGATCTTTTTAGATTTAAGATCTATTTTTTAAATATGAGTTATATTTCTTTTTTATTAAAAAGAAATGTTTCAAAAATTTTTATGATTTGAATTACATTTTTTTATTAAAAAGAAACTTTTCAAATTTTTTTTTAAAACTAAAATACATTTTCTTTATTAAAAAAAAACTTTTGAAATTTTATTTAAATTTAAATTATATTTTCTTTTAATAAAGAAAATCTTTTTAAGTATTTTGTAGAACTGAATTGCATTTTTATTTATTAAAAGAACTTTTAGATCTTTATATTCGAACTCAAAAAATATAGCATTTTAATAATAAAATAATTGGTTTTTTTTTAAAATTGAAAACATTAAAAAAAATGTTTTTAAGTATTTTAAAATCAAAATAATTTTCTCTAATATTTTTTTTGATTTAAATTAAAATTATCAGATTTAGATCTAAATTCATTAAATTCATAACAAATTCAGATTTGAATTCTTTAAATAGGTTCAGATTCAAATTTGAATTTGATCTGATCTGACAGATTTAAATTTAAGTTTATCAATTTAGATCAAATTGGATTTAACTCAAATCTGATCTGATTTAATCTATACATAATACTATTTGATAATAAAGGATTTTAAGCAATTTATTATATTGATAAAGCATATGTGTTATTAGTAGAATAAGAGATTTAAATAGGTTTAACTTGAAAAAGAAGATCATTTTGTGAAATATTTAAATTTTTATACTAATGAAAAGAAATAAGATTAATTTGAATTATTGCTAAATTAAAATAAGTTTTAGCATAAAAAATAGCAACAAATAATATTTTTATTAATTTATATTATATATAGTTACATCTTAATATAATAAAGTTAGCGTCTAGGCTGATCTGACCTTCATTATAAGAAAATTTGTTATTATTATATTGAATTATTCAGTATAATAAATGATTACTGAAAAAGGAAAATACAATCATAATTTTACTAAAATAATTAAAGTTAATTTTAAGATGCCATTTTATAGAATATCTTCTCTATGGTTAAAGTTAAAATGAACAAGAAGCAATTTTAATAATGCAAAAATTGGAATTAATCTTAAATGAAACAATTTATAATGATAAATATAAATTTATTTTTAAATGTTTTTATTATTTATTATAATTGAAAATAAAAAAGAATGACTTTGTTTTAATATAAAATCAAGAATTCTTTAATAAAAAAAAAATTAAGAAAATTTAATCTAAAATTCAATTTTATTTATATGAAAAAATATTAAAAATTAAAAATTAAAAATAAAATATTAAAAAAAAACAATATAAAAAATAAAACATCACAAAATAAAAATCACCTCTTTAGTAAAAAAAGAAATTAAAAAAAAAAATTAAAAACTCATGATAAAAATGATAAAAATAAAAAAATTAAAAAGAAAAATTAAAAATTAATTAGACCTTTTACTTCCCCACTCCAACTACTAGTTCACTAATTGCATATTATGGGTTTTCCTTCAATGATGTTTCTTAACTAAAAAATGTAAAAATAATTAATATAAATATAAAAATTCCTAAAATTTTATTAAAAGCCATCAATTAAAACATATTTAATAAAATCATTTTTCATTATATTATATAACTATTTTTTCACTCTTTTACATTATTACGCCAATCATAAAAGTCTTAAATAATATATATTAATTACTTATACTATTAATTTATATTTATCAACATATTATTATTATTTATTTACTTATCCCATAATTTCTCATCAGATTTCTTTACTTCTACTCATATTGATGAGCAAAATAATTACTATATAGTTTCTAAAATTCTAATTTATTCTTATGAAAATAATAATGATACTCATAAAAAAAATATTGAATGTATCTCTATGATTTTATAGATAAAGGCAATAAAAAAATTAAATTGGAAAGCGTTAGAATATAATATTTAAATACGGATTATTGAAGTAAAGTATGACAATTCAATGTAACTATTTAACTATTCTTTTATCTTTTATTGGCGAAAATAGTTGTACTTTTATTAAATTTCTATTGTATTTATTTATCATATGCATTATATATCATTAGCTAATTGATTTACGATAAACTTATTTGAAACAATTTATTTTTAGAAAACAAAATAACATATTTTTGGGTATATATTTTTTTTAATACCATTACCCATTTTAAAAAATATTGAGAATTGTGACCGTCGATCGTTCGTGCGTGACGTGATACACTCAATATTTGTAATACTAAGCACATCACTTGCGCCACTATCAGCCATCCCCTTATGTGGTTTTTTTTTCATTATTTTACAGTGCATTTCAATTCTACATAAAGTTTTAACAATCCAATTGTATAAATGATGACTTGATTAAATTTTATTATTTATACGATACTATTACGAATATTTCAGTAAACTTATGATAATGATAATAAACAAAATAATACATGGAAGAAAATAAAGGTATTCTTACAGATGAAATGTTGAAAAATTTTTACATTAAAAGCCTTTTTACATATTGAATTTCATAACTTTCTCATTTCCACCCTTGATTCCGGTATCTATAGTGATGAGATAAGAGAGAGCAATTTGTGTGGTCACACTTGTAATAGACACCTTATTCTCGGTAATATTTAATGCTATGAATATATGATACAAGAATGCGGTCACAACGGTCAACAAATTCCAATACATGACAATGGTAAACATATCTTTTTGATAAGAATATCCAATTTTTGGGTTACTCTTTAAAATCTGCATCAATCGATACATGACGTAACCATCGATAATTATATCAACCAAGGTCAAATGACTGAAATAATAACCGCTTTCGCTTTTCTTTTCACCATAAAAAGAAGTGGGATTTTCAGAAAGGTTGTGTGAAGGAATTATCGGAAACGTATATATAAACTAGTATTTAACGAAAAACGAAAAAGAAAAGAAAAATTTAAATTAATTAAATTAATTGTTATATTGCGACTTATACATCATCATTTAATACTTACATGAAATCCTGCTCTTATAATAAGTAATCCAATGCTCATCCACATGTCAGAATTGTTTTTCTCGTATCGTCTAAGAAGAGTCAACATGAAAGCGGCCAATGATTGCATGATGAAAATCTTAAAAATGGTATGATAGCTAGACCACATACATTCTTTTAAAGATATGTTTAACACCAAATCAATTATGGAGCAGGCTAAACAGCTAAGATTAAAAATAATCTTGAGCAAAGACAAGCTTCTTTCCCGTCCAGCACGATAAAGAAGAACAGATTTAACGAGATTTTGAAACGTAAGCTGAAGAAACATGAAGAGTTAGCATAATAAATTAGAAGTATGAAAAATTACAAGAATCATTTAGAATAATAATTCAACCAACCATGTTTAACATTCCAATTAAAAGCATATTGAACTTAATTTCATAAGAATTATTTTCCATTTCGACACGTTAAAATACGTTAAAATAAAATTTTTGAAGTTTTTTTTTTTCTTAAGTACGTTTGAGGGGAAAGAAATCTTTATTTGTACGGGTCGAAATATAGCTGCTTTTATAATAACTGGTCTGCATCCATTATATAATGCATTATATATTTTTTTATGTTGTGGAAAAAATATTTAAATTTGTTCGAATTAATCGGTAAGATACCGATATGATACCAATTAGGCAATTTTAAATGTCGATTACGTTTATAAATAAATATACGGAAATGTTTTCCGCTTCAAATGCTGAATAAGGAACATATGCATCATAAAATCATAGAGTAAACCTATCTTTATGAATAATGAACCTTTTTACTAAAATTATTCGGATGCATGAAAAATAACAATGAATCGAATATAGGAACGCTATATAGGTAGGGTTGTGGTTTAGGGAGAAGAAATTGTTTCAGAACGAGCTTCCGGATAGGGCATTGTTTTATTTTACACAATTTTGACCCTTTGGGAATTACTTTTGACATTATTATATATCACTTTTATCTTTTTTGATCGAAGCAAATTCTCTTAAATTTCTTATGCCCCGAAAAATTGAGGAAAGAACCGACGTTTTTTTTTTAGAGATAATCTAAGTCGATTCTATGAATATAAAATAATTTTTTTTTCATCTGAAATAGCCTAGAATTGTCTAGATTCGTAAATTATTTGACAATTGGATTTAAATAATGTATTATTATGTTACCCGATCTTATTCATAAATTCAAAACGTTGAATGATCTTAATTGTTTCCCTAAAAGGAAAGAATATGCAAAGTTTGGCACGTTTAATTTATTAAATTCTAAAAATACCGATTAACAAATAGGAAAGTGCTTTATAAATAACAATTCACTTATAAATACTTAACACAAATATCCCCAAACTTTCATGAAAATTCCCACTATTCGCAATATTAACTCAAGATGCTTTGGAACTTTCTTTTCAACAATCAAATTATAAAGTTTTTTTTTTAATTCATTCTTAAAAATCGGAACTGCGGACATTGCATTTTGGTTCACCAGAAATTACCAATGACAGAAATGATCTACGTTGATAGATTATTTTTTAAAATAAATAAAATACAAAAATTAAAAATAAAAAATAAATAGTATCAATTAATAATAATTTATTTATAGTTTAAGGAATGGTTTCATTTACAACTTCATTTGTGGAATAAATTACAAAATGTCATAATAATTGTTAATTAAATGTTTCACTCTGAATGTTTTGTACCGTGACACGCATGTGGATAATTGTTTACCCAAACATATTGAAAATGTCAAATGAATTTATTTATTTTAATTCCTTCAAAGACTCAAATGAATTCTATAATGCAAATTAAATCAACGACGCACTTGCAATTGAAAAATGCAAAAAAAAAAGCTTGATATTGGTTTGGCATATATGTTACGAAGCTTTCATTAATTTCGCAATGCCTTTTTTGTTTTACTTTTACAAGTGCTGCGTAAATTTTACAATTTAATAAATTATTTTGATGTATAATTTTAGAAAAGTTTATCTATTACACTCCTTCTTGTACAAGCTAATTTTATTCCTTTGGAAAAAAAAAAATTCTTAAAATGTAAATTTGCCAATTTTGATCTAATAACGAATTAATTAAGAGTAGATTTACTTATTGTTTTTAAATGAAAACTGTGCATTTATCTGGTGCGCATTATTCTTAATTTCTTTAATTTTAATGCCTCATTTGTCGCAGTCATAAGATCATATTATGCCACATTTTTAATTAAATTATTGGTGATTGTAATATATATTATCCTGCGGAAAATACAAAGGTTAATTAATTGCATATCCAAAGCGAAATTAAAAAGCGAGAATTAAAAAAATTCCTACCTGATAATAAAATTATTTTTATAAAAAAATAGTGAATGCTTTAATTGAATGATGTTCCGTTAAAAAATTCATTTATCAAGAGATCATTTGAGCTTTGAGCTGGTAAATTCGCGATTCTATTCAATGTATCTTCATTGATAATGGAATGAATGTGTCTTTGCCTTCTACGCCTTCTTCTTTGATTAATGCTTCTGTGAGATCTCGTCCAAAATTTTAGAGGTCTGATTGAATACATTTCGAAATATAATAGTAAACATATACAGTAAGAGAATTAGAGAGTAGAGAAAATTCATTCCATATTTATACCTTAAAGAGGAAGTAACACCAAATATTATTTCGTTCTTAGATTACATGTCGTAATATATCATGAATAAGTATATTTAAAATTTTCAAGAAACAAATTAAAATTATTTTCTTATGATAAGTTTAGGAAATTCTAGATTCAGATTTTTGGATGTTGCACTTCACTTAAAAGTTAACTTCGATTTTATAATAAATTCAATCGCTTTTAATTTTATGAATGAAATCATGGGAGTCCGTTATTGACTAAGTTTGGGTATTCTAGATTCTGATGTTGTACTCAAAAGACAACGCGCGTTAAAGAATTGCCTTTATTTGTTTATATGCAACATTTAGGCTTACATGTCCATTTATTTATTTCCGTAAAAACATAATTGTCATTGACAACATCAATTTTTTATAGATAAAGTTTAGGGATCTAGATTCTGATTCTGAATGCTGTACAACTCAATTTAACATTACGCGTCAATAATCCAATTAATCTATTTGTTTATATATGCACAACATAATAGACATGGTCTTTGAGAAATGACATATTCCGAGTACAAATATTATATAACTTATTGTGATTTATACATTGAATGACAATGTTTATGTCAAAGATTTAATTATAATGAACGGTCTAGATTTCATCGTTCTTCATATGTAATATGCTCGTCTTTTCTTTAAGAAAGAAATGTTATTAATTAATATTCGTGTCTTATTACACTGTTTCAGTATTATCAAGAAAGAACGATTTGCGTTATTTTAATCATGTGGTCCGTCAATTTTATGGTCTAGTACGTTCTAGAACAGATTCAATATTGTAATACGTAACACGGTCTATATTTTCTTATTAGCCTTTCAAAGGAAAAAAAAACTTGCTTCCGTGTTCCGTTGCGGTAAAATCATTGCATTATATATTCTGGTCTTCGGATAATTAACACGAATATGAAAATAAATATAGTGGACGTGTTCATGTAAGAAGTTAGGTGTAAAGCGTTTTAATAATTTAGAATTACCGAAATTAGTCCGAAGGACTATAGATAGCGTGACACAAATGTCCCGCTTAAAAATTGATTCGATACATGATTGGTCATTTTCGTTACTCTTGTGCTCCGATTAAATGCGACTATTTTTAGACTTGTGACTCGGAGACGCTACTCCAATTCTTTTTTTCTCTGATAGATAAGTACCTTAATCTCTGGAATTTCGAAATGTTTAGTTAATTAATTTTATAAAGAAAAATCAATTTGTAAATAAAATTTGTCCACGAAAATTCGAAGTGTTTCGTAGAAATGTCATCATGTTTCACAGTATTTAGTCATAGAATCATAGAATGTTGCACCACATAAATTTTCACACATTCATTAATGGATTATTTTTTTTTTTTAAAAAAAATATTTTTACCAATATTTCTTTTTTAAAGAAATGATATGAAGGTTATTATTTAAAAAATGAGATAGCAAGGGCCATAACATTTAAATTGAAGCTTTTTTTAACATTCAAATCTGTAGTTATATAATATCTGAAACTCGGAAGGTATCCTAAAATTAAAACCTGTTTCAAAGCCCATTTCAAACTTCAAAAAGGGTTTCAATCGAAACAACCGATTTTCCTACTATGAGTAGTATTTGGCAACGTATTCACGGAAGCTGTTTGAATTTTATCAAGTATAAATATTAACGTTAATGAAATTTCATATCCAAATGTATTGCCTTTATTAAAATATATTTTTATTATTGATTTATTATTTGTCATAGGAAATGATTTGTTATTCAAAGTCCAGCCTTGGTTTCCATCAAATATTGATTGTTCCTGGATATTTTCAAACGACGTTTTTTTGTGGCGCAGTTTTCAACGTTAAAAATTTTTTTAATTCCAACGGTCTAGAAAAAATTAATGGGTTGCAGGGTTAGGGTTAGTTTATATTTATTTATTAATTTTGTTGTTATATCCTAGTTCAATTAAAAACTGATTTTATTTTATTTAATTATAATCTGAATTACTATTATCATTCACATTGAACAAATTTTACCTTAATAATTAGAGAAATAACGTCATTATTTACCAAAGATGTAGAGATAAAGCAATTTAATTTAATTCTTTGAGAAGAAAGATAATTTTCGATAGTATCATTTCGTATGAAATTTTCTTGAGAAATAATATAATAATAAAGATATTATTAGGATTTAAACGATATGATTCATGCACGTTATCAAAGATTTTGTACGAGCCTATTTCGATCGATGATCACTTGCATATAATACGAATAAAGTGCTTATCTTTATCTCTATTGTAAATTTTTTTATTATTTTTCGTGTATTATTGGCCAGCTAGTATTGATTTTGATCCAAATAGTGATACCTGACGAAATTACCTTTCTTAATATGACGAAATTGACGAAACCGAAATGACGAAACTAGTTTTTTATTAATGACGAAACTATTTTACTTAATTGCCGAAATTATATTTAACTTGATTTGAATTCCTTGAATTAAAATACATTAAAAAATATAATAATTTTTTTATTTATTCATATAAAAATATTAAAGAGACGAATCCTTTTGACGAAACTACAATTTTTCAGTCAACAATTAAAAAAAAAAATTTTCAAAAATTAGATTAAACAAAGATAAATTTATCCACAAATCTATTTTATTTTAAATGAGTAATGTTGCACGAAAAAAATTTTTTTTTTAAAAAAAAAAAATTACAGAAGAAAATTTACTTAAAGAATTATATTTTGTTCCATTTTAAAAAATAAAGTAAAATTATATAATGATTAAGAGGAACTTTTTCGTTAATGAACTTGTAAAAACAATTTTTAGTTTAGAAATCATGCGTGTTCTAAAAAGTTGTGGTTAATCTTGCTTTCGATCTCGATTGATTTGATATTTTCTCTCCCGTTCAGATTTTTCATCTTCTGAGAGGTCATGCCACCATTTTGATACTAGTTTGCTGTATTTGGTCATTTGCATGTTAGGTGGTTTATGTTTCATCATTTCTTTACGGTATGAAATAAACATATTAGGCTCTCTCTTTTTTGGTTTATTCATTCTTTTCCCAGATTCTTTTAATGTGTTTGGTTCAGTAAAATGGAATATTATTAGTTTATCTCCCATTATTCAAGATGATGTTTAATTAAATAAATACTGTTTGTATATGGAGTTTTTAAACGAAAAAAATGGTTTTTTTTTTTCGTTTTTTAAAAAAAAAAGAAAATGCAAGGTAAGATGTATATACGTATTTTGATGCATTATTCTTTCTGTTACGGTAAATGGAGAGGATGAATGAAAATTCCGCTTATATAAATATGTTCTAAGCAAAATATGTAATAAATAAAGTGTTTTACGCTTTGTTAAAGAATTAAATAATTGAATTTGGTTCGATTGTTTCAATAAATTGTGAAAACCTAACCTTCCATCATTGAACCTTTTCCATTTAAGGTTAAATCATTATATTCATATTGCGATAATGTAAATTTCGTTTTCTTAATTTAAGACCAAATAAAATCTTAATACGTTCCCTGAATCATTGCTGCAATGTGCTTAGCTAACTAATTTCTATATATAAAATTGCCCGGAAAATACTTACCAAAAATGAAATTCTTCAAAGGAACCCATTGTAAAATCTATATTCTGTTTATTGTCAATCATAACCTTTTCCTATTTTTTTTTTTTTTTTTTGAATGTGATTATCAACGATCTTTCAATGAGATTGAAAATAAATATGTTCATACATACAGTAATTTGTTGACCATTAACAACTTTTAAGGTTTAAGAAGTCAAAAAGTTCATTTAGATGATCATAATGTGAATGTAATGGTCGATTTCACCACTAGTGTAGTACTCGGGCGGATTTGTTTCAAAAAAATGTGTAATTACCGTAAAATGATCTTTGTTAATGAACTATTTTTTTTTTATTTCTATCAAAATATTATATATTTACCGTAATAGATAATCCTTATCACTTAAATGAATTTTAATTAAATTTGGGTATAATTCATGAATTTACATGGTTATATAGAGCACGGATTAAATTCAATTATATTATTATGTATATAAAAACAAATAATAAATAATAAACTAGGAAACGGTTTTCGGAAACATTGTGGTAGTCAGCACAAGTGTAACGAAGGTGAACCAATCATTTATCGATGAAATTTTAAAGTGGAATAGAAATATATGAGACTTGTTCAATTCCGATTGATGCATCTCCAAATGCACCTTGATGCAATTTATAAGCAGTCAATTAAATTTATGTATCCCCTTTTTTTCATAACGAATTTTAAATTTTTCACGTCCAAGTATTTTATATATTTTACAATTACTAATGGAATATCCAACTAAAAATCAAAAATTATCCTCCGAAAAATCCAATATTTAATGCCATATCCATAAATTATTTCTCATTCTTCTCAACCTTCTTAATAACTACAACAACCTCAAGCATCTCAACAGCTATAACATCCTAAAACACCTAATCAACTACAACAGTCTCAATCACCTCAACTACTACAACAGCTTCAACTAACAACCTCTTGAATTTCAAAATCAAACTAATTTTAAGGTATGAATAAGTTTTTATTTTTATTTTATTAAAGATAATTATTTTAAAATAGTTTGACACGTAATTTTTTTATTTAATTAAAAAGTTTAATAATAATAATAATAATATAATGCTAGTTCATTACAACAAAATCTCAAGGCAATAAAAAAGGGAAAGCATCAATATAAATATTGAAGAATCATCAAAATTGGATGATTATGAAATTACTTTACTAAGAACACCTATAATCTTATGATTATAAGTCAGAAATATTATTTACATATTTTATTGAATTTTAATATTAGTATATGTATATTGGCATATCATACCAAAAATAATTTTATTATCTGACCTTTATATATATTATATTCTTTAAATCCTATTAAAAATAGGCATTTAAATATAAAAATAATCAATAAAATTTTATTTTGATTACAATTTATTAATAAAGTTATAAAATCTTTTTATATAATTTTAATATATTAATAGTAAAATCATTATTTCTTAATTTTCATTATTTTCATTATTTTCTAAATTTAAATCTAATTCTAAATCCTTACACAATCATTAAAAGAATTAAATATTTAATCTTTATAAAAGAGTAATTTTTTTAAAAAAAAATCTTGATTTCAATTTTCAAAATATATTTTCTATTTAAGAATATATTAAAATAAATTTTGTTATTGATTTAATAAAAAGATAGTATTATTAAAAATAGTGAAATTAGATATGCAGTATCTTTAAGTAAATAATAACCATTGATAATTAATTTATTTTTTTTTATAAAATTTATAAACATTTGTATTATAAATTGATTCTACCAATTTATATTATAACTAATAAAATTTTATGATAATTTCTTTGATTTTAAATAAAGTAACTTTTTTGATTAAAATATGATTTTAGAGTATTAGAAGATTTCTTATTTAAAATTAAATGAGTTTAATAATTGCACTTATTCTATTGGTATTATGTATACACCAGTAGAATTTCTTATCACTTATATCACTGGTTTATAATAAGTATCATATATGTAATAAAAAAATATGAATATTTATTTTAGAAAAATTGCTTAATTTAAATGTCAATTTATTAATATAAAGATAAGATATACATATTTAATTGTATTATAAATATGTATTTTTAAAATTTTAATTATTTTTTCAAATTTCTCTTTTACATAAGATAATAATATTGAATCATTAAATCTTATAGCTTTTTATTAAATAAAAAATATAATTAATGTATAAATAATCTAAATATATACATTAAAAAAAATGATAGTGTTAGTTAATTATATATGTAAAAATTTATTTCTAAAGTTCTTGAAATTGATATATTTTTTTATCTTTGATATATTTCTTTGTCTTTATTGTAAATATAATTAGTTTTTTGTTTTTAAATTTGCTTAGAATTCTTATATAATATTAATCTGCTTTTAGCTTTATTATAATGTAAATTACATTGCTTTAATGTGATAAAAATTAATTTTGCAGAAAAGAAAAAAATGTATTAATAATTCCACTTATGTATATTTCATACATAATAAGATAAACCTGTTATTTTATATGAAAATAACTGGATTTATACATATATCATATAATAATAACATATGTTTACGTATACAGTATTATATCTATATCCTATAATTAACCTAGTTATCCTTTACATTATATGGAATAATAAGAATTAATTAAATTTTTAAATTTACCAATTAATTGAAATTTTTTATAAATTAATTTATGCTATTTACCTTTTAGCTATTAAACAATTAATAAATTTTTGATGTTATTGTTTAAATACTTTTTCCATATACAAAATTATAACCTTATACAATATTGATAATTAGATTTATAAAAAATAGTTATATAATTTAATTCAGTCTTGTGAATAAATTATATAACTTATCCCAATCATGCCTATATACATATATATAATAAGATTATAGTACAATTTTCTGAATTTCATTTTTCTGATTATAACTTTTTGAAGTCATTTTTCTGAATACTAATAATCAAAACTGAATATAATCCTGGAATATCTAATAGTTTGAAGTATATTATTCAGAATTTTAATATTTTGAATTCTAGTACTAATTTCCCAAAATTAAAATGCTAACCTATAAAAAATTTGACCAATTATATCATTTACTTATTAATTATGCTTTTTAATGATTTGCTATTATTATGTCAAACTCATATTATTCTATTTTTATTGAAATTTTAATATTATTAAGAATTTAATATTATGATAATTATAAATCTGCAGTAGTATTATTTCATTTTGTTATATTGAAGTATTTATAATTTTTGCAAATAAGCTAAAAACTACAATAAATATGATTTAGTTAAATTAGCATTCAGAATTCTGATATTTGGAAAAATGTCTATTTGGAATATTGGGATTAAAGATGCACGCCGAAACTCCCTCAAAATAATTTCATCATACCCTTTACTATGTTTTAATATAGTTTCGGTTAATTTCGGGTTTCGGGGTTTCGTCTCTCATCTTTAGTTGTTATTTATTATGTATAAGAATTAATTTTTAAACTAAAGTCAGGAGCCCAAGTGTAACGAAAATGACCAATCATATATCGACTTAAGTTTTAAGACCCTATTTTGATCATCGTAGCCAAGGAAAACTATAAGGCAGAATTAAGATGAATCACATTAACTTTGCATTAAATCAACGAAATTAACAAAAAGAAAGAGATGGTTTAAAGCACGTCCTTATATATTGATCTTAGATTCTTATAATGATTAATATGGTAATGAATCTCACATATTATCACCTTTATATTTTGCTAATTGATTAATAGATAATTATGATATTTATATACAATAAATACAATTATTCGAATTTACAAAGAAAAAAAATTGAACGATTTCTTAATATAATGCCTACCAAAATAAATCTTTAATATTGAGTAAACATGTTTATAAAAAGAAAATATTAACTTATAACATCTGAAATAAATTCTTCACTAAAAATTTCAAGGTTCATGGAACGAAATTGGAAAGAAGAAAACGAACAAAAATAGGGGAAAAGCCAAGTTAGCGCGGTGGTAGTACTAAAAAAATTGGTAAATTTTTCGTCTGAAATTATTTCTTGAAAAATTAAGTCTTTATTATATGAATAAAGACAGTATCTTAAAGAAGCACAAAATTGTATCTAAATCTGAAATGTAAATTGTCACGAATATAAGTTATTAAACATACTATTTTTGTTGAGAATATCGAGTCACGAGTCATAGTAATCATGTGATTTGCAAAGTAATTTTATTTTATTTATATTTTCATTATAAATGAAGTTAGTAATAAACTTTCCTGAACATTATCGGTCGCGAAATAATTTTAATTGGTAAAGCTTGAAAGTAATTTCTTTATTTTTATTTTTTTATTTTATTTTTATTTTTTATTTATTTTAACCACGTAATTACGAAATCAAAAATATCTTGGCACATTTATTTATGAAAGTTACCGCATAAGACTAACATTGCATACACTTATGGAACTTATACAGTAATTTAAAATACAAATCCAAAAACAAATATTTCTTTGTGAAACACAAGTAATACATGGATTGATATGTGCAACATAATCAAAAGGAATGATGCTGAATAAATAAATAATATTTAACTAAACGACTCCAATTTAATATATATAATATATTTTCATTGTTTTCAGGCGCAAACAGGTCATAAGAACATTCTTTTAAAACGACTTCGAAGTTGTCTTTATTTATCATAATGCGCTTCTTTTCTTCTAGTGCATATAAATTTCTCAACCTATGTATTGGTGCTTTTTTTTTACTTTAAAAAGAAAAATATAATATTTTAGTAATTACTATTTCTTTTTTTATTTATAAAAAGAATTTCATGTATTCTTCATATTTTCTTTATTAGTTTATGGGATGATTATTATTAAAGAATAAACATTTTATCATTTTATTTATTCATTTTATAATGAATGCTAAATATAGATTTATCCAAAATATGCAAACATTCAACCCTAATTTGAACATTTATCCTTTGGAGATCCCACGAAATCCATGGAATAGATCGGCGACTCAATCTAATCAATTCACAATTCATTCCGATTTTAAAAAA